CTACGACACGCCCACAGCTGCATAGGTAAGAAGGGTTGAACAGGCGGCCTGCCCCGACTGGCCTGCAGTAGAAGATCCTGTCTGGACACCTGTGCCATGAGGGGAAGGAAGCAACAGGGAGAAGCTCAAGCTGAGGGCCTGCAGGCGCCCTAGGAGGAGGGGTGGAGACACCGGAAATTTGCACCTAATGCAAATGAGATGCCCGGCCCTCATTGGTTTCCTGTGCAGACCTTTGTATTCAACTGTAAAATGCCAACCCACTTCTGGGTCCCCTTTCCACGGCAGAGAACTTTCTTCTTTTGCTTATTAAGCTTTGGCTCCAACCTCGCCCTTTGTGTCTACCTCCTTAATTCTTTCCATCATGAGACAAAGAGCTCAGAGTGACATCTGATGACAAGAGACTGCTAGACTGTGGTGCATTGGCGAGACTGCAACATTGTCAGTCTGCTCTAATGATTTTTGTTGCACAGGGACCTGATCATCTCCAGTAAAATCATTTCTCCTCTGAGACAGCTTGGCTGTCTTTATCTGACTTCATGGGTCCTGCACGAACAGCCATCCCTCCGATACGTTAAATACTGAATGCAAGCCCCATTCATTGCTCTGCTCTTCCCATGCCCTGCATGAGCAAGGGGCTGGCAGGGCAGGGTCCTGAGGGATGGTAGGGCTGAGCGTGAGGACTGGCACGGCATGTGCCTGAGGGCTGGCAGGGTGGGGCCTGAGGGCTGGCAGGGCCTGGGCCTGAGGGCTGGCAGGGCATGTGCCTGAGGGCTGGCAGGGCATGGGCCTGAGGACTGGCAGGGCGGGGACTGAGGGATGGCAGGATGGGGCCTGAGGGATGGTAGGGCTGGGCCTGAGGGCTGGAGGGCATGTGCCTGAGGGCTGGCAGGGCATGGGCCTGAGGGATGGCAGTGTGGGGCCTGAGGGATGGTAGGGCTGGGCCTGAGGGCTGGAGGGCATGGGCCTGAGGGCTGGCAGGGCGGGGCCTGAGGGCTGGCAGGGCATGGGCCTGAGGGATGGCAGGGCGGGGCCTGAGGGATGGTAGGGCTGGGCCTGAGGGCTGGAGGGCATGGGCCTGAGCCTGAGCCCCAGCAGCCCAAGGCCTGCCACCCAGTCATCCTGCAGTGGGATCATTAGCAGAGGATGGGCAACCAAATATATGCAAGCATTCTTCCTCCAGGTCTTCTTGGTGCCTCATAGACACATGTGGTATTGCCCATGTATACATTCCTACCCATCTATCAATCAAGTCAGGATCAATGCAGTGTTCTCATTGCCACTCTAAACATCAGGATATTGAATATGTGCGGTTCTGTAAGCTCACACGGCTAGTTAAAGGCAGAACCTGAACTCTGTCAACCAAAGTAAAATGCTAACCGCCCCCCACTCCCAACACACACTGAATAAACCACTTCTTGGCCAACAAGATCCCAAAGAAACCTGACGAACTAGTTCAGGCTTTGATGGGGCGAGGGGTCAGACACACCTCATTACTCCAGAAACTCCTTCTGGAGTTGAGTTTACACAACTCACCAGCTCTGACATTAAAATAAAGACCCCAAGACTGATGAGGCAGACTCACTGTGGCAATAAGACACCGAACTCCAACCTAATCCAGTACAGCACTCCATGACAAAAAAGAGCGAAATAAAAATATTCACTTCAAAATATGTTTTTCTGCCAAATTTTGAAGTGGCCCTACAAAGTTGTCTCCTTTGGGGAAAAAATTGCATCCGTAAATCTCTCTCTGTTTTTTTTTTTTTTTTTTTTTTTTGAGATAAAGTCTTGCTCTGTCACCCAGACTGGAGTACAGCAGCCCACTTTTGGCGCACGGCAGCCTCTGCATCCCAGGTTCAAGTGATTCTCCTGCCTCAGCCTCCCGAGTAGCCGGGATTACGGGCGCCTGCCACCACCGCTGGCTAATTTTTATATTTTTAGTAGAGACAGGTTTCACCATTTTGGCCAGGCTGGTCTCGAACTCCTGACCTCAGGTGATCTGCCTAGGCCTCCCAAAGTGCTGGGATTACAGGTGTGAGCCTCCGTGCCCAGCCAGTAAAAATCTCTATTAACATGACTAGACCTTTCCCTTTCTACACCCTCCCAGTCCTGAAGAGATTAACTGAGGGTTTCCACAAAACAAATACAAACACAAAGTGGGGAAAGAACACCCCATTCAAAAAGTGATACTGGGGATAACCAAAGATTTTAAGACCTGAACCCATAAAAAATCTAGAGAATAACACTGGAAAAACCTTTTTAGGCATTGGCTTAGGTGAAGACTTCATGGCCAAGAACCCAAAAGCAAATGCAACAAAAACAGAGATAAGTAGATGGGACTTAATTAAACGAAAAAGCTTCTGCACAGCAAAAGAAATAATCAGCAGAGTTAACAACCCACAGAGTGGGAGAAAATCTTCACAGTCTATACATCCGACAAAGGGCTAATATTCAGAGTCTACAAGGAACTCAAATCAGAAAGAAAAAAACATAAACCATCCCAACAAAGTGGGCTAAGAACATGGATAGACAATTCTCAAAAGAAGATACACAAATGGCCAACAAGCCTATGGAAGAATGCTCAACATCACTTATTCTCAGGAAAATGCAAATCAAAACCACAATGCGATACCATCTCACTCCTGCAACAATGACCATAACACACAAATCAAAAAATAATAGATGTTGGCATGGATGCAGTGAAAGGGAAACACTTTTACACTGTTGGTGGAATATAAACTAGTACAACCCTATGGAAAACAGTGTGGAGATTCCGTAAAGAACTAAAAGTAGAACTACCATTTGATCCAGCAATCCCACTACTGGGCATACACACAGAGGAACAGAAGTCATTACACAAAAAAGACACTTGCACACGCATGTTTATAGCAGCACAATTTGCAAATGCAAAAATATGGAATCATCCTAAATGCCCATCAATGAGTGCATACAGAAAGTGTGGCATATATATATATATATATACCGTGGAATACTACTCAGCCATAAAAAAAATAAAATAATGGCATTCACAGTGACCTGGATGGAATTGGAGACCATGATTCTAAGTGAAGTAACTCAGGAATGAAAAAGTAACATCGTGTATTTTCACTCGTAAGTGGGAGCTAAGCTATGAGAACACAAAAGCGTAAGAATGATACGTGGGACTTTGGGGACCGGGAGAAAGCATGGGAGGTGGGTGAGGGATAAAAGACTCCACGGAGTGGAAACTATTTGGGAGACATGTGCACCACTGGAGAATTTGTTCATGTAACCTATCGAAATGAAATAAAACATAAATTAAGAAAGAGATTAACTGAGAGTATATCATCTTTTAAGGGCCTGAATAGGAAACTTTTGGGTTTTTTTCTTTTTTTTGAGCCAGAGTCTCGCTCAGTGTGCTGTCCAGGCTGGAGCGCAGTGATGTGATCTTGGCTCGCTGCAACCTCTGCCTCTTGGATTCAGGGGATGCTTGTGCCTCAGCCTCCCAAGTAGCTGGGCTTACAGGCATGTGCCATCATGCCTGGCTAATTTTTGTATTTTTTGTAGAGATGGGGTGTCACTGTGTTGGCCAGGCTGGTCTCAAACTCCTGATCTCAAGGGATTCACTCACCTTGACCTCCCAAAATGCTGGGATTAGAGGTGGGAACCACTATGCCCAGTCAGAAACGTCTGTCATCTCTGTCTCTAAGGGCATGACCTATGAGTCTTCATCTACAGAATAAGAACCTTGGTCTCCACAGTCCCTTATCTGAACCCGGACACTCCTTCCTATGGATTCCAGATTGTTAGGTAATAACTCAAGCCTTCCAACCAACTGCCAATCAGAAAAGCTTTGAAATCTTTGAATCTACCTACGGTGTAGAAGGCCCCCACCCTCACTCCAAGTTGTCCTGCCTTTGCATGCATTGATTGATGTCTTGTGTTTCCCTAAAATATATAAAACCAAGCTGCCGACCTGTAACCCCGCTTTGGGTGCGTGTTCTCAGGACCTCTTGAGACTTCACCGCAGGCCAGGACCACTTCTTATTTGGCTCAGAATAAACCTCTTGAAATATTGAACAGAGTTTGACTTTTTTTCATGGATAATTCAAATCTAGTCTGTCTGATCAAGAAAAACCAATCCCTGCTGTGCTAGGATCCTTGCTGGCTGGAATGGGAGCTTTAAGCCTATTAAGGAAGAACCCTGTCTCTCCGGACGCTCCAGTGGTACTGCCCAGCAGGGCTCTGCTCCCTCAGCCGGGCCGAGCTGTTGCAGGTGGGCTCCGTTTGCATGGCCACCTGAGTTGCAAGGCCACTGGGGAGACACAGCTTTCATGGTGCTTCCTGGGAGTCCACAGTGGCTTGTTGAACCCACAGGAGAGGACGCTTGACAATCACTGGGAGGATGGACTCTGGAGCAGTGTCTGCCACCCCCCAGGTGGTCATGGGATCCGTAATTTTGCCAAAGAAGAAAGAAATCAAGAAACAAAAGGAGGGAGGAAGGGGCTACAATGGAGATGAAAAGAGGAAGGGGAAGGGGCCACAAAGAGGGGAAGAGATGGCGGAAGGTGAGGGTTAAGGTCTGAGTTTTATCTTGCCCAAATTCCTATTTGGGGTCTGGGGAGTCCTGCCCTACACACCATCCATTCTCATTGGATGGGTTTTATTTAGCCCTATATATTATGACTTATTTTCCAAACTGACTCTGGTATAACATTATGAGACAAGAAAGAAAATAAAAATATTTTATCCCAAAACGTATTTCTTTGCCATATTTTGAAAAGGCCCTGCAAAGCTGTTCTTTGTTGGGAAATGTGCATCTGTAAAGAATCTCTGTTAACATCACTGGATCTTTTTTCTTCCAGACCCTCCCAGTCCTGAAGAGATCAACTAAGATCTGAATAGGAGACATTTGTTGTCTCTAATCTCGAAGGGCAGCCACTGTAAGATTCAAAAGAACTTTGGTCTCCACAATCTTCATCGTAACCTCAACATTTCCTTTCGTCAATACCAGGTCTTTAGACAAACTCAACCAATCATCAACCGGAAAATGTTTACATTCACCTGTAGCCTGGAAGCCCCGCTTTGAGTTATCCCACCTTTCTGGACCAAACCAATGTATTTCTTTAATGGATTTGATTGATTCCTAAAATGTATAAAACCAAGCTGCGCTGACCGCGTTGGACACGTGTTCTCAGGACCTCCTGAGGGCTGTGTCACGGGCCACGGTCGCTCACTTTTTGTTGGGAGAATACATCTCTCCCAACATTTTACAGAGTTCGACTCTTTTTGTCGGCCAAGGGACGAGCCTCCTTCTTCCTCCCTGCACCTGGGCTTGCTGGAGACGCTCCCACCGGGACCCTCCCTGCTGTGCTACTGCTGCCTTTGCCTTGACGCACAGCCCAAGCCCCATCTTCTTTGGTGGTGCTTTCAGCACCTCCAGAATGAGACCTTCTCCTTCCCCCGGTATCTCGTGAAGACGGTGTCCACTGCTGCTGAGCTGCATGGAATGACTCCAGCTGTCCCTGCTCACGCTGGGGAGGAACGTCCAGGGTCATCTAGTCACGGGTTCACAGCAGGGTGTTCTCTTCCTGCCCTCCAGAGACAGGGCGCAGATGCTGCTTTGTTCATTCTTGCTGTGCCAAGAGCCTCCCCTGCACATAACCCCACTGTGGCTCAGTAACGTCTAACTCAAAACAGTCAGTGAATGCAAACCGAAGGCACGTGTGCGTCCGACCAGAATGCCATATTCCTGTGGGTTATATCAAAGGCTAACCAGCATTATGGGATCACAAAAGAAAACGGTTAAACGGCAATGACTTCCACATTTCCCTGCCCTGGAATTCTTCAAAACATGCACATGCAGAGTAAATGCTCACTGACAGCTGTGATTGTTTTCCACGTAACTCTGCTTTTGTTTAACATCAATCATACATGTAAAACATGAAGCATACGGCCTGAATTATCATGTGAACGTGAATGTGTCTTTTTCTGAGGTCTATTTTTGTGTTTAGCTGCTCTTCCAAAATCTTCACGTCCTGCTAAAGACCCAGAGATGAGATGGTTGCTGTGGCCTTCCCTCTGCCTTGGCATTTTACGGAAGCACTGGCTCGGGGGCAGCTGCCAACACAGCGGGTGCAGGGCGGCCGCGGAGGCTGAGGGTGGAGCACCTTCTGCACAGAGCTTAGCATCCCTGCAGCTCTGCTGCTGCAGACTCCACAGGCCTGGGGATGTAGAATTCCCAGCAGATGGCAAGAGTGAATGTTACAATTAGCTTTCCTCCAAAAAGATGAAAGGAATTAGGGATGGGAAGAGTCTATTAGGTAATTTAATCTATTCTTTTGTTGTTCTGGCCTCTGTCCATAAAGAATGTTCTGGATCTCTCACACATTGTACACCAGGGTTAGAATCAGTGTGGGTAAGGGTCACGTGTTGTTACTTGGAGTTAAATTATTTACTCATCAGCAAAAGCGTGTTCAGAATGAAAGGGATAGATGGGAGCCATTGAAGAGCATTCAAAGGTCTCCACGTATGGAGATCAATACCTGTTATCAATGAGCTGTGAGGGGCACCTCTTAGTTAGGCTGGATTGACCCAGCGACTGTGGCTGGCGAGGTGGGGGGCTCCATGTTCTGCCCCCCAAGGCTATAAGGTTTGTGGAAGAGGAGAGAGACATTCTGGAACCCACAGTCCTTCAAGGGTGCAGAAGCCACGGTTCTCCTCACCCATCCTGTCTTCCCTTCACTGACGTTTCCAAATGTCAAGTGTGGGACAAAAATCTATGTCTTCCTTGAATTTCTGATCCCATGTATATTCTGCTGTGTGGGATCATCTGTATTTTTGTGTCGTGTTATTGCACATTTCAACAGGAGAATTTCTGTGGACAGAACCCTGAGCAATGGGCCCTCATGGGCTGGGGCCGCCCCTGGTGGTGGCTCCTGCCCCACCGCCCTAGGTGCCCTCAAATGACAGGGAGGTAGCCCTCATGGTACTGGGTTCCCAGAATCACGCCCAGCTGCCCATGCTGAGTGTGGGACCTCTCTGCTTCTCTGCCCCAGCGTGGCATCTGGACCACAGACAGCCCAGCCTGCATGCAGGAAACAGGAGTTCCAGCTCCCAGGTGAAACCAGGAAGGGCAGGTAGGGACAGACGGGCGCCCAGCCCTCCACACAGAGCGGGGTGGTTTGAAGCACGTGTGAAAAATCCCTCAGTTGCTCCTCAGTACGACCCTGTCCTCCTGCACTCAGCCCTCCTGCTGTCACGTTGCCAGCACAGTCATGGGCGATGCTGGCAGGTCACTCCTCAAACAAACCTCCTGCACCCACGTCCTGGCCTCAGGGTCTGCTAGAGGAAATGCTGCTGAAGGCCGTGGAGATCTGCATTGTATGCATTTATTCATTCAACACGTTGGCGTGAAGCATCTTCTGAGCACCAGGCACTGGCCGGGCACTCATTGCTGGGCGTTAAAGATGAACAAGACAGCCGCAAGCTTTTTCTCGTGGAGGCAATCGAATAAGGAATATGAGCAGGAAACGTGTGTGTGCATCCCTCCTGGGAGGCAGGGAGAGAAGGGGCTCGTTGCATAAGAACCACGGTATCTGCACGGAGCCGGGGCTGGGGCTTGAGAGTCAGTGTTCAAACACTCCAGGCAATGGCCAGCCCCAGGACTAATGTCCTGTTCACTGTCAGGAGCTTGCACCAGGCTGAGAGTCACTGCAGTCATTTCTTTAGATGAGATTTTAATCTAGTTTTTACTCATTGTATTAGTCAGTGTTCTCTGCAGAAACAGCTAATAGGATGTGTATAAACACACAGATATATATTATATACATACATACATACATTATATACACACATGCATATATAGATTATATACACACATGCATATATAGATTATATACACACATGCCTATATAGATTTATATACACACATACCTATATAGATTATATACATACATACATATATACATTATATGCACACATACACACATTATATGCACACATACACATATACATTATATACACACATACATATATACAATATATATCTATATAGATTTATGCACACATACATACATTATATATACACATACATACATTATATACACACATACATATATACATACATATATACATAATATACACACATGCGTATATAGACCAGATATACACAAACATATATACATTATATACACACATACATATATACATTATATGCACACATACATATATAGATTATATGCACACATACATATATAGATTATATACTACATATATATGTTATATACACACATATACAGATTATATACATACATACATATATACGTTTTATATACACACATACATATACAGATTATATGCATACATACATAGATACATTATATACATACATGCATATATAGATTATATACACACATACACTACAGATTATATACACATATATACATTATATACACATATACACACATACATGCATTAAATACACAGTCATACACACGCACACGTTATTTATTACACACACATCCATGGATGGGGGAGACAGGGAGAGATTTTGCTTTAGAGAGTCGGCTCACGTGGCTGAGGCTGTTGGGTCCACACTCTGCAGAGCGGACGTGGGGCTGGAGACCCAGGAAGCATGGGCATTGCTCGAATCCGAAGCTGTCTGGAGGCAGATCCCTTCTTCCCCAGGGGCCCTCAGGCTTCTCTCCATGCCTTCACCTGACTGGACAAGGCCCACCACCTAGTGGAGGGAGGTCTGTTTTATCAAAGTCAACTGATAAGTGCCAATCTCATTCAAAAAATGCCTTCACAGCAAGGTAGAGATTGGAGTTGCTGGGTACCACAGCCAAACCAAGAGGACACAAAACTAACCACCACACTCACCTTTTAACTCCTCAGATGTCGAACACAGCCTCTGTACAAGCCCCTAAGGAAACAGAGGTTGGCTTTGCCAAAAACCACTTTAATTTCTAGGCTGAATGCACTCAGCTTCTCATGGCTAAAGACACCCACCTCAGTGCCACCTCTCCAGGATGGTGACACACTGCAAGTTTCCAGCCGGAAAAAACCGGCACACTGTGCGTATCCCGCACCCCATCATGCAAGCACATGGTCCTCCCCTCTCCAGGTCCAAGCCCGAGGCTCCGAAGTGGCATAGGGCTGGTCCAGGCTGCACTGCTCATGCCTCAGCCACTTAGAAGCCTCGGGCCCAGGGTCGGCGGGGATGACGTTTCTGGATATTTTGCACTTCGCCATCATTTTGGACTTCTAAGAAGAGGCTCTTTCTCTTAGGAGGCTGCCAGTGTGGAGTATTTGGGAGGATGCCCTCAGTGAGTTTGTGGGCCTGTCCAAACTCCAGCCATCTGTACTTCTCAGACCCTAAATGTCACTTTTGTCACCCTCAGGGTGGCGCCTTCAGTGGGATGGCCCGGTGGCACTCCCCATCTTGAGACCAGGAGTCGGTGGCTCTCACTGGTGCTTGGTGTATTCACAGCTTGGCGACAAGACTCACCTTCTGCTCCACGGCCTCTCCTGGCTCTAGTGAGCTCACCAACCATGCAGAGGAGTCCCCACAAGGCAGAGGATGCAGGCACAGGGCCAGAGGAACGCGCTCTCCCTGGGAAGCCCCTCTGCCTCCCTCTCCTTGAGCTTCTTTCCCTCCAAGCCCCTGTTCAAGGCTGTTACAAAGCCACGTCTTTAAAAGCGTAAGCACTCCTCACGTTTTGCATGATTCCACTCTCCCTCAGCGTGAAGTGATACCAACATGTTAGGAATCATGCCCTATGGATTTCCCTCCGGCTGAGCACAAGACCTTACCAAAAAAGAAAGACTTAAAGACCCTGAATTGCAGCCTCACCTATGAGCGCTAACAGGGGCTCCCTGGGAAGCTCAGTGAGGGAAACACAGGCCCATCAGTCATGCTCCGACGACTGCTTCACGTGGCACCATGTGTTCCAAAACTGAGTGTGCAGGGCCCGTGGGCAGCCACCGAGTCCAGCGCAGGACAGACACTCAGCTCTCACGTGGGCAGTGACACTGCGGTTCCTCACAAAGGGAGAAATTCACTCAGATTGCTCAGGGTCTTTCCAATGTTGAGTCTGCTGTAGCTGCAAAAGGCTTTTACAGCATCGAATGCTG